GTGCTGGTGTCAAATAACCCCAGCAAGGTGTACATCCAGTCTCCTTTGGAAGATCTCTAGGGTAGGCGCCCGCACCAGCCCCCCTGGAAATCTATTCCAGAGTCTGGTCACATGGACCGTGAAGATGTTTTTCCTTATATCCAGTCTGATATCTTCAAGGAGTTCATAACCATTACTTCTGGTTTTTCCCTGGGGCGCTTTAGTGAATAGTTGTTCGCCTAGCCCCTATTATGCATTTAGGCCAAAACATATTAATCTAGTTTTTAAAAACAAGGTTTTTTTTATAACTACATTTGTGGTAACTGTCATTGGAGCCAAGTTCATTGTTATAGTTGTTGTCCAACTAGTAGCTAGAAACATTTGTTGCCTTCTTTAGTCTGTCAAAAGATCTAAATTTAAAAAGGGAATTAAGTGTATTTTCTATACAGATGACTAAAGATTTAAATGTGTGTGTATATATAATTTCACACAAATTACATTCAAAGAATGTTCAGGTTGCAAAATTTGGTACTCAAAGGTTAGGAAATTCCCTCATAGGCAACCTTGATTATAGTCCTCCTTGCTTATTGTAATGTGTGTATTATTTTTTTTTTTTTTTTGTTCGTTTTCTATGAGAACCCTCCCTCTTTCAGTCCACAGAATGAATAGTACTCGCTGAATAAGCTGTTACTCAATATTTTGTTTTCTGCTGCTATGGCCCCTTGTGTCCCTACCTGCATAGTTTTTTAAATCCTTCCTTGAAAGTAGTATTCATACATTTTCTCATGGGCTTCTCTATAAAGCTCAGTACTGTTTATGCAGCCCTTAGATACTGTACTAATCACCTTATTTGCTCAATACTTTAATAAGGTGGTGATATTATCTCAATTTTAAAGATGGAGAACTGTGATACAGAGAAATAAAGGCCAAAAGTGTCCACTCAGTTTGGATACCCAGTTTGATTATCGGTCCATTTAAGCTTGTGAAAATACTGCAGTGATGGATCTTATGTAAGTATCATAGACCAGTGGTGCTCAACTTCTAGCCTGTAAAGCCATGTCATCTGGCCTGTGGGTCTTCCCACAGATCTGGAAATTTGGCAGCACTGGCAACATTAATTGCTGCTCCCCAGCTGCCAAATTTCCAACCCTGTGAGGAGCCCTGTGGACTAGATGACATTGCCCTATGAGCTATATCGTGCTGGTGGATTGTGGGGGGGAGGTCAACATATGGGATCGCTGTGCAGCTGGATCCAGCATGTGGGACTGGGCTAGAGCACTAGATTGCATGCACAGGTGAACCTCATGCACCAACCCTGTGCTGGGATTTGCCCTGCAAATCAACCCCAAACCACTCATTCAGACCACTGGGCCAGAAGGGTGAGCACTACTGTCATAGATAGTGCAGTATTTCTGCATCCTAGGTCTTAGAAACTCAAAGTTGCCACACACAAGATGAAGAATACTTAACAAATGGCTTGAGCATTTTTGATGTAGGTGAGTTCCTTAATATTTCATTGGGCTATTTTGGCAGAAGGAGGAATAAACTCTACTTATTCAGGAAGTATTCAGCTGCCTTAATCATTTTTGATTAAGCAAGGATTTTTGTTAATATCTTTTATTGGATCAATGAATAGTTGGGGAGAGATGTTACAACCTGCTTTTTAGGCTCTCCCCAAGTTCTGGGAACCATGAGATTATCCTTTCTCTTCAGGTAGTTCCTATGTCGTTCTTTACTCTAGAACAAATAAGGCATCAATCTTAAAGAAAAGTCTTCTTTTCATAGACAACCCCGATTTCATCATGGTTGAATCCCTGATGAGACAACAATTCATCCTTTGTACTTCTCTCTCCTTCATCTTCACGAGTCCTTGTCCAAGTCTAGTCCTTCTATGAATATTCCCAGAAGTCCATCTCTTCTCCTTCTCTCTCTCTCTTTCCCCCCACCCCCGCATTCTAGTCAGACATCCCTCCTCTCTGCCTAGGTATGAGAGAGGGGATTAATTACAGTGAAGGAGTTTTCCTGCTCCAAATGTCGATGCCTAGCACCACCTCAGGTAGGAGTAGCTATTGCAATGGAATTCCTATTTAGACTCCAGCCTTCCAGCCTGAAGCCTGGTCAGTGTGGATAAATTTTCAGTTTTAGTGCCAAAAAAAATTCTCTACTGAGTATGTGCAGTGATGCTTCAGAAGCTTATGCTTGGTCAGATTTGTTTCTATGGAAAAGCTGTCCAAAAGGAAAACTGCTGATGCAAAATCAACACCCTTCAAATTCCAAGCCCAAAACTTGGGGGTACTAGAACTTTTCAGTGACTTTTTTTTCTTCTTCATGTGAGCACAACTATATATTTTTCCCTAATCTTGATCTTCAGAACAATAGTTTCAGTAAAAGTAGCTCTATCTCAAACAAATCAGCCTGAGGCAGACACCTGGTATGAAAAATTTCAGCCCAAAGTGTTAGTTTGGCAAAGTCATAAGCAACTTAATACTGGTTCTCAGAATGGAATATCTTGCGACTTGAAGTGCTACCATGACTCAATCCTGAAAACACTTACACATTTGAGTTGCTGTTCATGTGAATAATTAAACTTAATCCCAAACTAATCATTTATGTTCTACAGATTTTTAGAAGCCAACTTTTTTTTTTTTTCTTTGTTATGTAAGGACTTCATAGGTGTATGAAAAACGAATTCATTTTCTTGGTGGTTTTGTATGCAAGATGCTAAAATAGTAAATACAGGCTGTTATCTGTTTATTTAACAACATTTAAGTAGACTTCACCGATCATAGCACAAGAGCACCTTGAATTATTTTTTTCTAACTTTGAACCCAGTTCTGAAAGGTGTTGTAGGAACTGTCTAAGAAATACTATTTCCTGAGATACTCAGGGTATGGACAGGCATTCAGTATAAAACTAGAGGCATTGTAAGCTGGAGGGCTACCAAGTTTTTTCTTGGAGGCAGTCTCTCTAGCCAGGAAATGATAGAGGGATACTCCTTGGGTACCCTCATCCCAAGAGGATCTAGATTAATGACGGTCTGCTAGGGAAGGTTGTCTATAATGTGCTGGCAGAGCCCCCAGCTTCCCAGCTCTGCTAGCCCAGGCAGGGGACACAGCTGCCTGGTTCCACTGATCACCCGCTCTGGTTAGTAGAAGATGGATTGGATCTCTGTTGGCTACAGACTGAGACGGAATCACAGTGGCCTAGCTGATCGGTGGAACCGGGCAGGGGCATAGCTGTCATTGCAGCAGCAGGGTCATCACTGGGTGGGCTAGCAGGGAGCCAGCCACTCTCCACTGAAGTGGGAGAGTGGGGACTTTTGAGATGCTAGGGGGTTCTGGAACCCCCCCATAGTGCTATACATAACTGTGCAGGTGTTATACACAGCACTACAAATGCCAATGTCTTTTTAGTACTACATCTTGAACAGCTGTACACTTAATTGTTGTAGTGCTATGAGGGCATATATGGTGCTAACACTTGTCAGTGGCCTAAGTTAGTCAAGATCTCCATGGGTGTATAAAGCAGCTCTCTGAGACGGCCAAGGAATAAACCTCTCATTACAGTAGATGCAATGATGATCCAGGTTTGTGCTTCTTGTGTGGAGCTGGACAAGGTGCTGCCACTTCTCCAACCACCAAGTCAGATGAGTCCCATGACCCGTT